TGACGCACTGAAAGACAAAAGTTGAAAAATAACATATTAGGTAAGATTTTTTCCGATTATATTAGGCCTTTGACCGTATTTAAGGGGAATTTATTTCTAGAGCGCTTTAATATTATTACAGTAAATAAGTACAAGTTTCGACTAGTTGATTTTATAAAACCTTTTATTTCAAATACATAAGATGTAATTCATGTTGATATTTTGTTATGATAAAATATTTTACTACTACTGTACTTGATGGTAAAGTAGAGACGTGTCAGTTCAAGTCCTAAGAACTCGAAGTAAATTTCACTGCACGCGAGCAGGACGCGATCCCCGGCACCAATGAAATTTTAGTTTTAAGTAGTTGTAGTTTCAATTTTAAGAGCTGACTTACCACAAAATCGCTGGTGAAGATACCATTGTAATATCAAATAAAATTTTAAATATTTGAAAGACATGTGAACTCTGTCAACCTCCATAAATCAACTAACCTACATAATCTTCCCAGACATGAGATAAGGCCAGTGCTCAACAGTAGGACATAAATAGGCTATAACTTTAAACTTTTTACTAGATTGTAGGAATATTTTTTTGTCTTGCAGTCCGTTTTGGGTAGGTAGCTTCCACATACGTTCTTCTGCCGCTAAGAAACTGTGCACCCGCTATTATTATTAAATCTCACGAGATTGGTATCGCCCCATTCGGAGACTGCTTGTAGTGTGAGACTCACACGCTCAAGCATAGCCTCTATTTCTGACTGGATTTGATCCCTACTGATAACGGGAATGAGCAGATCATTTATGTTCAATATGAAGAGAGTTGCGGAGAGAACGGACCCCTGAGGAACACCAGCGTTAGTCGCCACAGTATCGGATGAGCAGCCATCAATGACGACCCGAAGAGAACGTTCACTCAGAAAGTCCTTCACCCAGACAATCAGGCTACGTGATAAGCTGTACGCTTTAATTAGGAATAGACAGGACAATACATTCATCAATATATACAGTAATCTATGACATTCATTGCAGTTGACTGATGTATAGCTTTCAAATCGATTTGTTGGTACGATACGTGCGCCACCATAGTAAGTTAATTGTACTATGCCTATAAACTTCGCGCAAGTGCAAGCAATAAGTAGACAAAGTTTTAGCGCAATCTAATGAACAGTATAACAGCGAATAAAATATGAACAAATAAAAATTAATTTTCATATATTAGATTTTTTTGGATGGTGGTGATGGTGATAGCTATTAAAGTCTCAGAGTCTCTTGAGACGTTAATTTTGTGAGTTAACGTTATTCTGTATCGTAGGTCAAAGACCACGTGACTTGCATATTCTTGTCACTTTGGTTCCCACTAATTGACCTTTACTTAAAGTGTGTGAAAGTTAATTAATAAAATTAAAATGTTGTGTATAAATAAAAAAAATGTATAAGAATCTTCAGCTTGACTTTTTTTAATTAACATCTTATTTTGTCTTTTCTTTTTTTTTCTTCTGCTACATCTAATTAGTAATAGCCACAAAAATATAAATTTAGTCGATTTCGTAATTTATATTAAAAAATGTTATATTTTTTTGCCATGCATCATGATTTTCATATATTTTTAGCTATTTTATAGGTTTGAAATAAATATAATAAGACTATTCTTTTAGTTACATTTATTTTATTTTACAAAAACCATTTAGTAAAAAATGTAAAGGAAAGGACGAAATGAATGATATCTACAGTCGTGAATACAGTTTTAAATATACATTGTATAAAATTATTTAGTTGAATATTATATACAAAAATATAAAGTAGGTATAAATTAAAGGTATTTACAAAATATGTACTACTTAGGCTATAAATCGCTGCTTAATATTATTAAAAGCGATATAAATTCTAAATATTGCATTAAGCACCATTGGCTAACTTTTGATAAAATGTAAACTTAAAAGTTTGCTCGCAGAAGCAATAAATAGTTCGTTTCTTTCTGACTTCTTACTCATTTTATTCCTTACTAGCTGTGCCCGCGGCGTAGCTCGCGAATATAGGTTTTACTTAAAGAATTTGACGTTTAGGGTAAGAGAATATTAACCGATTTATATCATTACTCTATGAATAAGTGGTAACAAAATAAATCGATATTCTCAAAGTTCTAAGTCGTTTATGCTAGAGCTTCTGTGTAAACGACGATAGAAGTAGACTTAGCCAGGCGTACAGAAAAAGGTTACGGGGACTACTAACGCGAGAAAAAGCAATATAGAGCTGGCCATGTGCAAAACAATCAGTACTGACGCGTAAAGTTTGACCTTGCGCTTTATTTACGATCGTCGCATAACACACGCTGAGTGGGAAACACACTTAAAATAGGGATGTTAGATGATCATCGATGTTAAAAATTAAAACTTTGATGTTTTAACATCGATGTTGACATATGTCAAACATCGAAACATCGACGTCAATTAACCCATAATCGATAATTGAGAACTTGCAAACAATGCGAACTCGCGAAATCAGTATCAACTAAATCTTACATTTGCTCTGAAGATTAAAAATTTTGAATAATTCAGAATTTCTGAACGCATCGTTAATCTAAAAAAATGTCAGTATGGTGAGTCAAACTTAATTGTCAAGTGTCTCCTGTAATGTCACAATGGTCACTGCTTTCGCTTTATTTTGTAGTGTCGTTGTCGGTTGTCGCATAATAACTATTCTACATAAATTGATATTCAAGTTAATTGTTACTTTTCCCTTGCTGTGTATACCCACATAATTTTAAAACAATGTGTAAGTATCTACACATATACAAAAACCATCGATAATGGTCAACATCGATGTTTTGAGTAGCCAAAACATCGAACATCGATGTTGAGCTAGCGATGCCAACATCGATGTTATTATCCCTATCTTAAAACTGAAGCCTGAGCCGTGGTAGCTCAGATGGTTAGCGCTCGCTGTAAGCTTCACAGTACTCGAGCAACCCGGGTTCGATCCCCGCCGGCACCAATGAAATTGTTAATTGCAATTTTAAGTGCTGATTTACCACGTGCTCGGCGGTGAAGGAAAACATCGTGAGGAAACCTGCATGTTTGAGAAATAAAAAAAAATATTTCGATGACATGTGAAGTTCGCCAACACGTATTGGGGCAGCGCGGTGGACATTTCCTTGCCCTAAAACCCTCTCAGAAATAAGAGGAGGCCTGTGCCCAGCAGTGGGACGTAAATAGGCTGCAACTTTACTTTACTTAAAACTGAAAAAAAAGTTATCTGGTATTAGAGGGATTCTGGGTATAAAACAATATCACTATCACGACATTTATTGCAATTTTGCTACTTTTAGTCAAGTTTTGTTGAATAATTAAATATTTCAATACCTCTGTATATATACCTTACAGGATTGCAACTTTCTCAGACTCATGGACATAAATTATTACAGTGAGTCTCAATACGATTCACCTGCGAAAAATCTTAACACCGCAATTCAGAAAAGGTTGTAATTTGTACAACGCCATCTATTACGTTCTTTGTGAGAAAACATCCTTTTTTAAATTAAGGAAAACATATTTTTACTGTGTTTTAAGTACTATAATAGAACGATACGAAATATATTATAATAGAACGTTTTTTTTTACACACGTATCTTTTTATTACTATTTCTGGGATTTTGTGGCGCCATTAAACAAATTCGAACCTACATTTCAAAATAATAATCATGACTTTCGATAGAATTAACCAATTTCAATAAAACAAAGATTAAATGAACTTGATAATACGCTTTATGATTTTCTTAAGGATTTCATTGAAAAAAAAGATGTTTACTCAAAACGTCATGCGTCCATAAACAAACAGACAGACCGTCAGATAGTACAATTCTAAAAATTATAAAAATGTACTTATTTAATGACTTACAGTCCCCATAATGATTTTAGTCGCAAATTAATATACTATACAATATTCAGAAACAGACATAACATGTTATTACCATTTTTATTATATGTATAGATTTAAGAGAGATGGCGCTGTTAACATCAATTCTAAAAATAAGAGATTAATTCACACGATTGATACAATAAAAAACATAAAAGAACTTATAAATCAGTGCCTGCATAGTAAGCAAAAAAGAAAGTTTGATCCTCGCCGAAAAACGAAATTGTTAATAGCTCTTAAAATTTGATTTACCACATAGAGTACTCGGCGGTAAAAAAATAAAAAATAAATGAGATTGTCAACACGCAGTAGGGCAACGTGTCATTAATATAAAGGTTAGAAGCAAATATGAAACTCAACTACAGGAATAAATTTTTTTTCTGCCTTTTTGTATCACATTTATGCTACACCACCATCTATCGATGAAATTGGTTAACTATTGTACTTTAATTTAGTTTAGATAATAAGGTTAATATATTTTGTATATATTTATTACGTTCTTTATGTAATACTTTTGTTTACTGCGTTTTAGATATAAGTATATCATTATAGAACATTATTTTACATCATTTAATTATGATTTATAATATGATATTAATTTTAAAATGTACTTGATGACTCATCCAACGCCACTATTGAACAAATTCGTACCTATACTTAGTACCCATACTTCAGAATATTTGTCATAACTTTTGATGGAATTAACCAATTTTAATGAAATAAAGACTAAATGTAACCTGAATATACACTTAATAATTTCCTTAACTATTCTTATGATATAAATTAGTACTTTATACGTGATACGTTAACAAACAAACAGACAGACAGACAGACAGACAGACAGACAGAAAAATCTAAAAATGGTAGAAATGTATTTAATTACTTATTTTTAGTACCTCTCAATCACTTTTATTACAAAAATATAAAATGTACAGACATCTGCTATTTACATTTTTATTATATGTATAGATAATATTGTTCACTGCGTATACGACAAAAATCACGATACACAAAGGAGTCTTTATTTATACCAAAATTATTCAAATTATCACAACCACTTTCACTTAAAAATGTTCATAATCTATACACTTTTTAGGTATAAAGAATTTATCCAACGTAAGGAAATGGAGCAAATGGTGCTGGGAAATATCCTGGGAAACCGGCGCTTGGTTGCACGGGTATTGATGATGTTACAAAAGACGTCAGAACCGTTGGTACAACTTTAGTCGTAAACAATGTTGTGTAGACTGTTTTAGCGCCAAAAGTTAATTTCAATATTTGACTATCAGTTGCAGTAACTTCGGTGTTCATAACAACTGGTGTCGAAATAACTGAAAATTGTTGTTGCGGGAAAAGTGGATTAATCGGCTGAAGTGGCAGAGCTGGAAGACTACTTGTTCCAATTTCGTAATCGGTTTTTGTAACTGTAGCCACGGGCCTAGAGATAGTGCTGAAAATAGTACTTTTTCCGTTGAAGAGTGGTATGACGTGGGATTCGTATACCGTTTCGTATTTTAGAATTGGTTTAGATGTAGTAACAACGTTCGGAATTTGAGCAGCTGCAGCTGGGTTAAGTAGCCTTAGGAGGGCAAGCTGCTGGGCCTGTTCAGGCGTTAATGCAGCAGAAGGCACATTTGGCGGTTCTGTCACTTGATTAATCTTGTTTTGCTCATGGGCTTTCTTAAGCCGCAAGTGATTATCAGATAATTTGAATTTGTCAACTTCAGTGAGATCAAAATCAGAACCAATATTTGCAAGATCTAACTCAGCTGGGAGTACTCTACGATGAACACCGTCTTCATCTTCATTACTATCACCAAAATCTAGTTCTAAATGAAGTTCTGAACCAGCTTCATCAAGACGGCTATTAAATTCTTTTAAAGTTTTACTTGGGATGAATTGGAAGAAATCCATGGGTGGTAACGTTTTTGTTGCAGTAACGAATCTAGTTATTTGATAGGTTTGTACTAAAGTTAAGCTACTTGTGAAATTGGCACCATTCACGACTGGTAATATATGAGTTTTTAACATATTTTGTGTAGTACTAAAGGTTTCTGTTATTGTTTCTAATGGTGGTGTTTCCATATCAGAAGATAATGTTATTGCTGGTAATGTAACTATACTAGAATCTAATAAATAGTGATCTTTTCCATATGGCGAAGCTGTCGCTAATATATTTTCTGTCAACGGCTCGTTGAGAGAAGTTTGCGCATTAAAAGTTACGGTTTGATCGATTCGTTTTTCTATAGTTGTTGTTACTGTGATGATACGAGTGTTTTTGACACGCCCAACCTAAAAATTATAAATATTAATTTAAATAAAATAAAGAATAATTATTAAATATTTAAAGTTTTGTTAACGTGTGATTTTTAAATTCATTATATAATTTATAAATACCTGGAATGTATATGGCGATTTAAGAGTTGCTATTTCGTAGTAAACGTCCCGAAAATCAGCTGGAGTAGAAATTTCTACCTTTATAGTTTCTACAGGTGGTGGTTTTTCTATAGAATTATCCTCAGTCTCATTTTCAAAAAGTGTTCCTGGTCCATTTTGAGAACTCGATAATTCCAAATCATTGTCGGATCTACCTTGTGGCGAAATATCATTGTATTGGGGGTCATCAAGTAGAGGATTGGAATTTGGTGTTGTAGCTTGTTCATCTTCACCAGATGTTTTTCGTATGGTTACTTTGGGTTTCGGGCTTGTTTTATATTGCCAGCGGCTAGATCCTTGTGAACGATTTAATTTAAATTTGTATATGCTTGTAGAAGTAGCTGGAGTCCCTTGTTCAACGGCTGTTGGTTGAATACGTGGTTTGAATCCCCGCCGTGAGCTGTCATTGTTGCTTAAAGGAGTGACTGTCGTTTTATGCCCAGAATTTCGGTTGCTTTTTCGTCTATTTGAAAATGATGGCGCTGGAGTTTCACTGAAAACAGAGACGGTTGCCAGTTGAGGAGTATTGGCAAGTCGACCATACCGTGTACTGAAAATAGAAATAGTTGCTTAAAAATATGAGAAATTGTAAGAGTATTACTGTACCACAATTATCACTCGGGTTGTAGATATGGAATAGTTTCTAGTATTAATATGCTTTAATTTAAATAAAAAAATATATTTAACTATTCTAAGCTACTACTTGATTACTACCTGATGGTAAGTGATAATGCAGCCAAAGTTGTCATAAATAAAGAAATATTTTAAATCTATACTTAAAAGGGTAAAAGTGGCTCAATTAATATTTTTAATTTTATTATTTTGTCATTCGTACGTACCATGTATGAGTTTCTTTTATGCTTGTAAATGAAATAGAAGACTTTGTGGGAATTATTAAACCTGAGTAAATATAAATATTCGTATTATACTACTGATTTTGGGACATGGTTTTAGAGATCTACTGTTGGTAGAAATTCAATCTAAAACATTAAATTCTGATTGCACAGACTGATGATAAGAGTAGTATTACAACTGCGGTGGAAACGAATCTGCATTCACATATCCCCCTGCATGTTATGGGCAAATCTTAATTTTTAAGTATGCTTAACAGTAAGTACATTCTGAGAATGACTTACAAACAGTGAAATAAAAAGGCTGGTGATGCTGGTGATTATCATAATAAAAATATAAATAGAATAGATGAGAATCTATGTTGATGAAGATAACCTTTTTCAAACTTTTAACTTGGAAGGTGCTCACCATCATCATGATAAAGTGTGGAATGAAAGTGTTGAGTGAATTGAGTGCTGAAATAATATAGTGTTAAAAGAAGGTCTAATAACTTGGAATGAATAACCTGATAGAATGTATTTCATTAAGTCTAATAAAATAAAATAACGTAATACCTCTGAGTGCGTTGAGAATGCGAGGAACTCCGATTTTTAAACTTCTTATTTGGTACAGCTGCTTCATGGTTATCATTATCATTATTCTGTGATCTTTGGCGATTTTTAAACGAGCTTCCATTATTTGATTGCCTCCGTGTGGTTTTGCTAAAATTATTGTCATCACTGCTAAGAGTAGGAGTTGGTTCTAAATGATGTCTATGATTTTTAGCTATTGAAGGAGCTGCAGTTTTGAGGATTCTGTGAGTAGGACTTGGAGATATTTTAGCTCTATGCCCAGAAGGTTGCAATATTTTTGAATGACTATTGAGCACTTGAGCATATTTTCCTGATATATATGTACCTATTACACTAGTCTCGTGTATAGTTGTTGCACCATCTTTAACTATTGTTCCTCCTAGTGTTGTAACAAGCCCAATAGGATGTTCGTCATCTTCAGGTGGAGGAGTAGGAGAGTGCGCTCTATTTTTAAGGTTTTTAGGTTTATGGCCATGTAATTTTGAAGGACGTAAGTTTATAACTTTGTACGTCTCTTCAACAAATTCAGATGGTTGACGCGATAAAAAATCGTATTCTGGTTCTCCAATATTGTTATTAGTGACCAAAATAGCTGGCTCTTCATCCGAATTACTTGACTTCATTTCTAGTACACTATTTATTTTTGATGAGGGTGAAGGACTTTGTTTTACTTCAACTTTACTACTAATAATATTTGTTACACTTTTAACGGTTTCATTTTTTTGCTTTTTGTTAGACTGAGAGGATTGTTTATTTGATTTCGATGGGGACTGTTTAGGTGAGCTATTCTCTACAATTTTAGAGGGACCAGCGACTACTTCAACTTTCGTAATAACTTGTTTTTGTTCCTTTATAGCTGATTTAGGGACATTGGTGTCTTTTTTTGGAGGAGACGACATAACGGAAATAGCACTTGACACAGCTATCGGTGTTGCTGCTTTATTAGATGTTTTACTTGGTTTAATATTTTCAGGTTTTACATCAGTGACCGATGGTGGCGGCGGCTTAGTTTCAATAATGTTTTCTTGTACTGCTTTCTCTGTCTTCGGTGGTTCTAAAAAAATATATGAAGTTGTTAATATTTGGTAATTATAAATAACAAATGTTTTTGATTTTGTTTTTAAATCTACCAAAAAATATATTTAAAAATGCGACCTGGTGGTGGTGCCGAATGCGGTGAAAAAATCATGACCGTATTTCCTATTGTAGTTGTGAAGTCCAGGAAGCCGTACACTGTTTGTGTTATAAAGTTACCGCTTGACACTTGACTAGGCGCATTATTCTGTCCACCATTATAAAATGGTCCGTCAGCGAAAGCTAAGTTACCTGGAAGTATAATTTTTTTATCAATAATGATATTATTTTCTTCTACTTCGACTAAACTGTATGCATTTAGGTTAATTGCGCAGGACAAATAGCATTGATGCTTGGTGTAGTGGCAGCTTAGGAGAATCCATCGCCTCATCACGTCCCGTGTGGTATCGTAAGATGTAACTGTTGAAAACTATTAGATTCCAGGGACTCCAACAGTTTGTGATATAAGCATCTAACATGTGGATTTAGATATAAAAATACTGAGAACACCGACGGGGAGGAGTGACAAAGGAACGATATATTTTCTAAGCGTTAGAGGGGATTTGCGGTCTAGTAGTATTGATGTTAATATAAGGTTGTTGTCCTACTAAAGTGACCATTGTGTGGTAAGATCTGACGTTGGTTCGTAAGATAAGGAGAACAGTGGTAGTGATTCAAAATTTAGGCAAAGCTTTAGATGAGACATTCAACAGTTTTGTTTTACATGTGTAGTATGTGTAAAGTACATAAAAGTGTTAAACATTATTTGGTTTGTAAATGAAATGGGAGCGGATTATATAAAGTGGTTTATTTTTATAATACATATAGTATAAGGAATGTCTTTTTTTCAGTACCATTGGTTGGTAAATGATCTGTAATACTACGTTCATATGATATAAAAAAGAGAGCGCTTTTAAACAATATCATCGGCAAGGTATTCGTATCACGAAATTAATGGCGTGTGATGTCGTTGTATATTTTCAGTGATCAAGCTTTTTTTGCTTTAAAATAACTATATAGTGATTTAATTTCATTAACACTTGTCTGTTAGAGTCATGTTGTATATAAGATATTGTTACAAAAAGGATCTGCTTTCCTTTTTGCAAATTAACACGTTTTAAAATGATCAGATACTTGTTTTAAAAAAATACTTATGTATATATGTACTCGTAATATCTTAGTACCTAGTTTTAATGGGGCGTATTCCTAGGACGTATATATTTAGTTATCAACGCTTGTTCATGCCAAGATAGCACACGCTACATGCATTTGAAAGCACGCAAGAAAATTGAAGCGGGAGCATTTGATTCCGCACCATTTACCCTCAAGTGGGCTGAGATAGTCCACCTTCGATACAGATCGACGCGTTCACTTTGCCATTTCTATCTATAGGTAGGTGCTTCGATTGCTTTGCTCTAGATAACTCTATTGACTTTAATTTGCTATTGGAATTGTTTTGTTTACATATGTTTTTATATATAGTGGAGTAATCAGTTGAATGTATTATGTATTGTACTCGTATATGTGTTATGAATGTATTTCTAAGTATTCTATCGCGTGCTATTAATTTCGGACGAACGAAATAGAGAAAATCGAATAGCTTTATAGGTTTATTTAGGCATACAATTAGGTTGTTTCACTTAATTATTTGGTTTTGAAAATATTAAATGAAAAATACTTACATAAATAGGTGGATAAGGCCAAAAAGGCCAAGAACCTGAACTCCATGGTAAGTAAACTGTATTTTTTCTAAAGCTGTTAAAATGTAAAGAGGTCTTGATATAGCCGCATTTTAGGTAAACTCCTCACGGGTTGAACTCGATCTGAAATAAAATGAAATAATATGTAGTTATATATTAATCCCGCAATTTTTTAATAACTTTTAATTATAAGCTATACATATTATTAAAAGAAATACAATTACTACCATTGCATATTAAGGTAGTGTATAACGACAATTACACTCAAAAATAAAAATAAAATGTTGACTTCGACTAGGATTCAGTGTTCAATCCCATTTAAGACATTTTGTTTTTACTTCTCAAGTAAATAAGTGACGTGAGTCTATGATTAATCACTTCGTGATTTCATTTCTGTGGATTATTTTTATAATGCGAGGACAAAATTAATTTTCCTAATTTTTAAAAATATAATATAATATATTGTTTTAGCCTATCACAAATATTAGCGATCCAAAATCTCCCGATGGGCAAAATAATCACATGATATGCAAAGCAAATGAATGAACGTGGCGGGACCAATGTTCAGTCATCTCATTTCAGTGGTCAACCAAATCATTGCGTAAAACCAATATAGCTTTTAAAATAAACACGTTCGTTGGGATGTTCATTGTCTTTGTAATTACTGCGGTTGAAGGCATATCGTTTTGTCACGTTATAATTATTTCATTTAGTTAATAATTCCAATGTAAAAACTGCTACCGGTGAAAAATATTGATTGTTCAAATCATCACGGTTGTTTGTAATACTTAATATTTTTAAAGTTCTAAAAAGTCTAGATTTTAATTTATTATAAGAGGTTATAGTGATACATTCTTTCACTGCTGCCATACAACGAATGCCGATAATAATATTTTGCCTCCTTTGTTCTAATGTTTCACAAAAAAAAAAGTAAAATAAAGCAGTAAAATAGCCTCCATAGAGTAAAGATTGAAAATTTTTTGAGATCGTGTATTTGATTGTAGTGCAACTTGAAACAAAACTACAAAGGATTCAACCTTTACAATCGTTTATATATATATATATATATATATATATAAAAACAAAATTGCTATGGTCATGTATTGAGCAAATTTAAATGAATTCAAGATAGATATTCCAGTTCCTACACAACTCACAGGTGGACACAATGTTTTTTTTTTTATAGGAGAGGGAGCAAACGAGCATGCGGCTCACCTGATGGTAAGTGACTACCGCCGCCCATGAACAACTGCAACACCAGGGAGGGAATTGCAGATGCGTGCGTGCGTGCGTGCGTGCGTGCGTGCGTGCGTGCATGCGTGCGTGCGTGCGTGCGTGCGTGCGTGCGTGCGTGCGTGCGTGCGTGTGTGTGTGTGTGTGTGTAAGTGAGTTTTATCATTTCTATTTTATTAAATACAATATTATTTATTGTGAATTCTTACATAATTTAGTTTAGGTGAGTTTTATCATTCCTGTTTTATTAAATACAATATTATTTTTTTTATTCAAGCTTCTATTATGTGTAAAATATAATCGAAGAATGTGTTAGTTTTGGTTCAGCAAGAAAGTCTCAGTTTTATCATAACTCCAAGTTTTTAATAGTGCTGTCATATTCATTTTGCAATTGTACTTAGTCATAGGGTAAATGTTTAAAACTTTATTAAATTTATTATATAAATAAGCACAACAATCACGGTTCACTATTAAATCAAAAAGTAAACGCTGTTTTAATCTTTGAACAACATAGATTAAAGGCAAGGCCGTAATGTAACGTTTTCAAATTGAACGCTTTGCATTGTTTTAACCTGTTTTTGTTTTGCCGCGTTTAATGAGGTAGATATTAAAAAGTATGTTGTGTGAAAAAAATGTATTGAGGGGTGTGATTTTTAATCTCTTTTGGATATAATGTTGTATTGTTATGCAAATAAAACAAATATATTTTTATATAATTGCTTAATTTCATAATCCTTACCCATTATGTATAAGAAACCGACTAAATTACGTCACACAATTTTGAAATGAGATTGATAATATTATAAAAATATAATTTAATATTTGTAAAGTAGAATTAAATAGCCTAATTCATAAAAAATCGATGCGTATAAGTTTTATAAATAGGTGGCATAGAAAATTAAAAAGATATCACTGTTTACATTAGCACCTACCGGTATCGTGCGACCTCCTGAACGGCCACTGACACTTGAAGCGTAAAAACATAAAATGGCCGGGTTCATCAGGGAAGCGCTTAAGAACAACTAAATTACTTTAATTTAGGCTTATAGTATAGTAAATTAATAATTTGTTTTTATTAAACTGTAAGAAATATAAATGTTTCCCATATTCTGTCCAATTTCTCTAACAAACTGTTTAAGAAGCGCAGGTCCAAGGATTTTTATATACCTTTCTCGCAATTGTAATACTAGAGTGTATTTTTCAATTATAACGTAGTAGATCATCGTTTCACGAATTCAGGTCGATCTGTGTAGGACCACGATCTTACACATAATCACTGCGAAACACCAGAATAATGCTGTTGTTTTTCGACCGACTTCAAAAAAAGGAGGAGGTTCTTAATTCGACTGTATGTTTTCTTATGTGTGTTACCAACAAAAGAACATTTATCTAGGTGAACCGATTTTGATGATTCTTTTTTTATTTGAAAACTAGTGCTTCTCATGCGGTCTCATATAAATTTGATTGAGATCTGACCAGTAGTTTTTGAGTTTTCTTTAATAATGCGTATTTAATTGATGTCGACTACATTGATGATGTTCTTATTTCATTTATATTGAAGTCGGTTGTACAATTTTTTTATTTTACCACTTGTTTAGTAGTAACAAGGCATTCCATCTTAGTAGTCAAGGGTGACAAAGCATCTGCATTTTGAATCTTAATCCAGGATACATAGAAATGCCTATGGGCCATAGATTATCTTACCATCAGGTGAATAGTGCGCTCGCTTGTCACCATTATTCTATACAATAAAAATAAAATTAAATTTATAGAACGCGGGAAACTGTGTTCGTAGTCTCGACACCACTACAATTATTATTTCATGCTGAATTGTCGCATTAAGCTCATGGTAAAACATTATAATACAGACGCTACTAATGTATATAGCGGTTTATAGTATTTTAAAGGATTATATCGCTATCTGCAGTATAATTTTCTTCTGCAACCACACAAAAATAACATCAAAAAGTGATAACTATTTGGAAATAAATCAAATTATGTTATGTTTAAGATAAAAAAATAATAATAAGATAAAATTGAACAAGCTTAGTGTTCCCTAGCGTAGAAAAGAAATATATTTATAAAAATACAATACAACCGAACCAAAATTCAATATCCAGATTCCGAATACGTAAACATTCTATGGCTCTATTGTTCCAAGTTTGTATTATTCGCAATCCGCAATAAGCCGATATGAATACATATTAGGCTTTCGATAAAAACAAAAAAGGCATTTGTAAAAAAAAAAATCAATAAGCGCGGTATTCCGTTTGTATACTCTATAATTCACGATGAATTGAAATATTGGGATTGTAATTCACGATTGGCTCCATTTGCGGTGTTGTGGCATTTGAAGGTACGTTCTGAGTACTAATCTTGGGTCGTATAGGTTAACCGAAGAATTTTAGGTGTATTGTACTGAGGAGGCTGTCCATTAAAAAGATTACCTAGTAAATTACATTGTGTTCTGTTGCTGAAACCGAACCACATTATCGATGATTGCGTCGACTTAATTGAACGCGTTAAGCTTATCTAGCACAATGCGCTTGCAATAGGAAATGTGTAATTCTAGTGAAATTACAATAAATGCTACATCGTTAAATAAAATTCTCATAAATGGCCAATTGCTTAGATAGCTATCGGTTTTGATATAACCTGGCTGGATACACGAATATTTGTCTCAGTCCATTCATAGCTTTTTAAGTTATAAGAGGTTTGGAAATAATACCCGTGGTAGCTCAGGGACTAATCGCTTGCTGTTTTCACAAAATGCAAGCAATCCGGGTTCGATCTTCGCTGGCACCAATGAAATTGTTATTTATAAATTTATGTGCTCGGCGATGAAGGAAAACGTCTTGAGGAAACCTGCATATCTGAGAAAAAAATTATTTCGAAGGCATGTGGACTCCGGCAACACGCTTTGTAGCAGGGTGGTGGACACTTCTTCGCCCTAAAATATTTTAGAAATGGAAGCAGGTCTATGAGGAGTTGGAAATATAGGTTATAACTTTACACCATATAATAATAATATTAGCTCAATGGCTAAGCATTTGAATGTGGCCCTGAGGCGTCACAGATTCAAAACCCGTACGGAACAAGTGATTATATGGCCTACGAATAATTATTCCCAGTCTACATGTTTGTCCATGTGCAATGTAACTATTGTATTATGATTACACGATACAATTTATATCGAATTTTTTAGTTCATATAGAATTTTCTATTGTGGAAGTAACTTTTTTCAAGAAAAAAGATTCTCCGCAAGTGAATGGAAAACGAGACGAAATCAAAATTTGTCTATCCACCGCTTAGTCCAAAAATTTTATCGAACAAAGATATTCATATTTATATTTAGGAATTTATGGCTGATAATAACTCCCGAGAATAAGTTGATCGCTACCAAACTATTTCTAAAATAATTTGTAGTTAATTGCGTAACATAATGCCTTATTGTAACCTTGTGTAACAGTTCTTTTAAAAAAAAGTATCCTGCTAAGTGTCTTGCTGGTTCTTCCTAGGACACATGTATTTTCCGAACCAGTGGTAAAATAAACTTCAAAGTTGAGTTTTGATTAATGTGGACGGTTAGATTCATTACCTTATGTTCACAAAAAGCAAGTAAATGAGAAAATTGTGATTGTTTCAGTGAATGCACGTCAGCAAAAAGCAAAAAGAAAAACACCAAAGCAGTGTTAGGCCTGTTATAAATTTGATATGCTTTGTACAAGTTTTTATTATTTACTCGGGGCTTAATATTAATGTAATAAAGAAAAGAATCGTGAGTAAAATATGTCT